TCCAGATGACCAGGTCGATGGTCCAGATGACCAGGTCGATGGTCCAGATGACCAGGTCGATGCTCCAGATGACCAGGTCGATGCTCCAGATGACCAGGTCGATGCTCCAGATGACCAGGTCGATGCTACAGATGACCAGGTCAATTCTCAAGATGACCAGGTCGATGCTCCAGATGACCAGGTCGATTCTCAAGATGACCAGGTCGATTCTCAAGATGACCAGGGCGATGCTCCAGATGACCAGGTCGATGCTCCAGATGACCAGGTCGATGCTCCAGATGACCAGGTCGATGCTCCAGATGACCAGGTCGATTCTCAAGATGACCAGGTCGATGCTCCAGATGACCAGGTCAATGGTCCAGATGACCTGGTCGATTCTCAAGATGACCAGGTCGATGCTCCAGATGACCAGGTCGATGGTCCAGATGACCAGGTCGATGCTCCAGATGACACATTTCACTAAATCTTTGTTTCTGTTTGTTTGTTTGTTCTTTATTGTTCTCTTTTTTATTTCTTTAAACTGTTTCTCCTGGGGAATTGTTCGTTTAAATGTATCCATACGGGATGTAGCAGTGTATTGCTGCATAAACAGGATCTCATGACAGTGCTACACGTGTGCTACAGTTCAGATGACTTCTAACGCAGCAATGGCATGTAATCCTTAATATATGTACATGTAAAAAAAAATATATATTTTTTTTTTAAAATCACCTTAACTAAGGTGTGTACAAATACACCTCGTTATATTTTGCTGCTTACTGCACATTATTTTATACTGTATAGTTTATACTGAACGTGAGTCTTCCAAACTTTCGAGGGGCGCACTTAAGAATTGATCAGCACATCCTTCTTATAGAATAACAGTGAACACAATGCAGATGATAAATTAATGATGTCACCGATGCTCCTTTTTTTTCAATGTATAATGAAGTGAATGCAACCGAAGAATGTGCAGAGTCCAATGAATAAAGCTTGGGGAGGGGGGGTGTGACTGGACTCATGACCAGAATAAGTCTGTGCTTATTGTATAGGCTTGTGTTTTTAAACATACCCTAAATAATTTATGTCACCACAAGCCCCCCCCCCTTAAACCACACACACACGCACATTTTAATTTTTTTTTAAAGTAACGGCTTGAGGGTCACGTGCTGCGCAAGGCCTGGGCCTGACAAATCAACGCCAACACAACATTTCCAAGGAGTTTAGACCAGTTTCGGTAAACCACGAACACACAACTTTTTTGTCTTAAAATAGCCCGAAAAAGGGGAGAGAGGGCTGTACTTTAAGGGGAGGGGGAAAATCCTGCGACATTCTTTCTCACTCATTGAGGCAACTTGTATCCATTTTTTGACCACTGGATTTTTAAATAAGGTCTGCTCTAGCATTTTTTATTTTTTTTTAAACCGTGGCAAATTAAGGTATTATATTTTCTTGTGTGTGGATTGATCCATTAAATGAAGATCTTTTTTTTCAATTGTGATGTTATGTAATGTTAGGGAGGTATTCAAATTTAAAATTAAAGCAAAATGTTTTTTTAGTGTTTCTTTGGAGAGTATCAGCAGAATATTCCGCATGTGATGACGTCATGGCTGACGAAGTCTCCTGTTGACATTTGATGTAATTTGGTTGACATACAGGTGAGGTTAACAGGACATTAATGGCTGGATTTTTTATGGTGCGTTTTACGCTGCACTGCGGGCTGATTTTAATAGTGGACATCGTTTTGATTATACTGTAATGTCATGCTGTATGTATCGCCGTAATGTCAAACCGTCTTGCACCTATTGGGTGTACAGTACTTGGCACTATATGTTGCATTGTAAATTGTACGTTATGTAGTACTACATATCGCACTGTATGTGAAAATGTATGGTAGTAAGTCTTCTCTTTTGTTATGATGCACCGTATGTTAAATAATTTCTACGCGATCATAATTACGTATGTTATTCTCATTTGTTTGGTATATTGTGTGCAGATTGTTGTACTGTTTGTGTTGTACTGTTTGTGTTGTACTGTTTGTGTTGTACTGTTTGTGTTGTACTGTTTGTGTTGTACTGTTTGTGTTGTACTGTTTGTGTTGTACTGTTTGTTGTACTGTTGTGTTGTACTGTTTGTGTTGTACTGTTTGTGTTGTACTGTTTGTGTTGTACTGTTTGTGTTGTACTGTTTGTGTTGTACTGTTTGTGTTGTACTGTTTGTGTTGTACTGTTTGTGTTGTACTGTTTGTTACACTGTTGTGTTGCACTGTTTGTTATACTGTAAATTTTACTGCATGTGGTACTTTTTCGGCTCCGTATGTTGAAAGAAACAGTCTTTTGACTGTTTCGGTGTACATTTTTCTCTATAATGTGGTAAAAGTTTTCTTCACTTATGTTGATTAATGTATCTTGTACTTTACAGTGAACTACATGCAGGTCTACTATTGGATAATATCTATTCTCGTATCCTCGTATGACAGAAATCGTAAGTCAAAAATCAATATTTCGGGCTATTGCCCTTTGAAATTTAATCTATTTGTCTCAGAAAACAATTCTAGGAGACATTTCGCGAAATTTTGATCCAGTCATTCATGGAACTATCCAAAGGCCCCCCACCACATGATAAAAATTAAATTCTCAAACTGTACTCTCTGACATCATCTAAAATTTACCGCTGAAAAACAACAACAAAGTGTAGTGCGAAAAAATCAGCTCATCCTGGTTTATCTTTTTTTGTTTTCCCGCGTCAGTAAACTATCGTTCGAGTAAGACAAGGAAGCCGTAAGCGCGTGACCAGGCACACCAAGCACCGACTAAATCAGTTGGATATAATGTTCTTCATAGCTACATCAACGTGATTGCCCTTATTTGTGAGGCAGACTTCCACGCTCTTTAAAGGGAGTGGGGGGGGGGTTGAAACACGTAGAGGTGAGTCAAAATTTTACGTCAATGGGAGGAGTCCATTTCTATGTGCCCCCCCCCCGGGCGCGGCGGTCCATATATGTAACAATCCTAGGCCTGTAGCGGTGTCCTAAACCTGGGAAATTATATCTGTAGTATCCTTGGCCTGTATGTGTACCATTCTTGGCCTTTATGGGTGCTATCCTTGGCCGGCGCGTGTACTGTCACGGGCCTGTATGTGTACTATCCTGTTCCCGTATGTGTACTATCTTTATGCCTGTACGTGTACTATCCCGGTCATGTATGTGTACTTTCTCTGGGAGCGTATATGTGTGCAATGTCACACGCGTACACTTCCTAAGCAATTAAGGCATATTGTCCTAACTTACATCATATATTCTTTCAGCGGTACAATCCCGAGAGTTAGGGCCACTTGTCGGGCTACTGTAACATATTGACCAGGACGTAAAGAATAAATCATTGGCCCCTTGATCGCCACCCCCCCCCCCCCAAAAAAAAAAAAAAAAAAAAAAAAAAAAAAAAAAAAAAAAAAAAAAAAANTTAAAGGCAACATCGTAGACGATAATATAATATAATATAATATAATATAATATAATATAATATATTATAATATAATATAATATAATATAATATAATATAATATAATATAATATAATATAATATAATATAATATAATATTTTTATAATATAATATAATATAATATAATATAATATAATATAATGTAAGATAAGATAAGATAAGATAAGATAAGATAAAATAAGATAAAGGTCCTAATATTTTTTTTTTAATTGCGTGTAGATTCATTTTCGGGAAATGAAATATTTTATCCCGACCATCCAAGGTGTAAAATACGATGTCGTGAAACGATGTTTAGAACGGGAAGACTTGAACGCTATGGTCTGGCACATCCTGGTTCATCTGTGTTTCGAGAAAGTATGATAAACTAACACAATATTTTTATGGAGCGGTTAACAGGTATGCCGTGTGTTTATAGTCTAATAAGATGAACTTTGGGGTCTGTATCTATAGTCTAATAAGATGAACTTTGGGGTCTGTATCTATAGTCTAATAAGATGAACTTTGGGGTCTGTATCTATAGTGTAATAAGATGAACTTTTGGGTCTGTATCTATAGTCTAAAAAGTTGAACTTTGGGGTCCGTATCTATAGTCTAATAAGATGAACTTTTGGGTATGTATCTATAGTCTAATGAGATGAAACTTGTGGGTCCTTATCTATATTCTAATAAAATGAAATTTTTGGGTCTGTATGTACTGTCAAATAAGATTAAAATTTTGGGTCCGTATCTGTAGTCTAATAAGATGAACTTTAGGGTCTGTACCTATAGTCTAATAAGATGACATTTTTGGGTCCGTATCTATAGTCTAATAAGATACAACTTGTGGGTCCTTATCTATAGTCTAATAAGATGAAATTTTTTGGTCCGTATCTATTGTCTAATAAGATGAAATGTTTGGATCCATATCGAAATTTTTGGGTCCGTATCTACTGTCTAATAAGATTAAAATTTTGGGTCCCTATCTATAGTATAATAAGATGAAATTTGTGGGTCCTTATCTGTAGTCTATTTAGAAGAAATTTTGGGGGGTCCGTTTCTATTGTCTAATAAGATGAAATTTTGGGTCCGTATCTATTGTCAAATAAGATGAAATTTGTGGGTCCTCATCTATAGTCTATTTAGAAGAAATTTTGGGGTCCGTTTCTATTGTCTAATAAAATAAAATTTTTGGTCCGTATCTATTGTCAAATAAGATGAAATTTGTGGGTCCTTATCTCTAGTCTATTTAGATGAAATTTTGGGGTCCGTTTCTATTGTCTAATAAGATGAAATTTTGGGTCCGTATCTATTGTCAAATAAGATGAAATTTGTGGGTCCTTATCTATAGTCTATTTAGATGAAATTTTGGGGTCCGTTTCTATTGTCTAATAAGATGAAATTTTGGGTCCGTATCTATTGTCAAATAAGATGAAATTTGTGGGTCCTTTTCTATTGTCTAATTAGATGAAATTTGTCAAAACGCTGTATGGGGTACACATTGGTTCATTTGGATGCCACCGCTTGAGAAGTGTGGGGACCACTGTTTGGATGCCACCGCTTGAGAAGTGTGGGGAACACTGTTGGTGATTGGAGAGTTCCGGAAACCAACGCACTTGGACTCAAGGGCTGTGCATCCCAGGCGGACAGACACGCCACACAACATTTCTGGTAGTGTTTCTCTAATCCCCGTCCAGTTTCCCCACTACACGTAAGATAAGTGGAGTATAAAGTGTACATCAACTTTATTTGTGTCTTAGGGGCATTAACGTACACAATTGTACGTAGAACCGTCTATGCTGTAATAGCGTGTGTCCCACTATCGCTTCACTTCACCCCCCCCCTTCCCGGTGCTCAATATTTTAAAAAAACGAAATGGCTATTCGCACCCGTGTACCAGAAGTGAGAGATCGGGATTAAAAAAACTATTTAAAACATTATTGTTGGGTTTGAACCTTGTCTAGTCGGTACCATCAGCCCGTCATCACGTGAAATGAAACATGAATTGTCAATAGAAAGTTGCCATGGTCGTAACCAAAGATAATGTATCCTGCAAAGACAAATAATTTATTTTTTTTTAAATTTGGCATCAAGCACATTATTATCTTCAGAGCTGTGTGGTTTAATTATAATTAACCTTATATTTAGTCTCGCGCAAATCACTGATCAGTTTTCTTTCATTATTTACTTAATACATGTAAAAAAAAAAAAAATAAAAAAATGTACTCTACCCCCCCCCCCCCCCCAATACACCCACCCCATTTCATGGAACACTATGAAAATGAGAAGATAATCCTTTTTTTTTAAACAACCGAACCCGGTTTATTTCCCCCGGGCATGTGCCGGATTAAAAATACCCGATATTTTAGGGTAACTGCGTCAGTAGTCGGCCCGTCCCTCCCAGCAGTACACTATATCTAAAGTTCGTTATTTGTTATGATGAAAGGCGAACATGCATGAGCTGTGAATATTATTCTTTGGTGGTACAAATATGAAATATATATTTTTTTACAAAAATGTACCAGGAGAGCACACTCGTTATGCTTTCTGCATCGCTGGCAAGCCTGGCGACCCTTTGAAATTAATTCACGCCACTGAATTATTTCTTATCAATCTGTAGGGATAAATAAATCATTGGCGTAGGAAAAGGAGGGGTGAATAAAGTGTGGTTCACCCCATGAAGCACTTTTTTTTTTCATTTATACGAAGGGGGCGGTATTTTCAGTCTGCAAGGGGCGGAAAAAGTTCGCGACCCACCCCTGGCGGCACTAACCCTAGCTAAGCCGATGGGCGTAACGCAAAGGACGGAAGTCATACCTCTGTCTGCATTCTTGGGTATTTTTTTTTTTTTTTTTTTTTTTTTTTTTTTTTGGGTTTTTTTTTTTTTTTTTTTTTTTTGTATTTTTGTGTGTGTGTGTATATAATGACGCCATCTTGTTTTCAAAAACCTATTTTTAAAAAAACGAACACCTCGGTGGACGTCCCTTTTTATTTGGTACGAAACTAAAATCTAAATGTGATTTATAATAAGTCAGTCGGATTTGTAGGTCTCCGCGATATACAGATCAAACATAATTACAAAACCATTCTAATATTTTATTAATATAGAACACCATAGACCCCACCCCAATTTTCCACGTTACGAAGTTATTAGAACATTGCTTAAAAAATAGACTGAATTTTTAAAAAAATAAACTCAATTAAACAATATATAAGACTTGTCTATCAATTTTGTTAAAAAACGTTAACAATTTTCTATATTTTTTTTATTTTGCCGTCTCCAGACAACAAAGACACATACAATGAGCTTGCTCCACAGCATCACGACACACGCCGACCTGAACCAGTACTTCATGAGAACCGCCCTCTGGCCAGCCATCATCTACACCACCGTCCTCATGCTGGTCGGCACCCTGGGCAACATCCTCGTCCTGGCCGTCTACCGGCACCAGTACCAGAGGAGCGTGACCCGGATGTTCATCTTCGCCCTGGCGGCCATGGACATCGGCAACTGCGTCATCACCATGCCGGCGGAGCTAATGATTCTCATACGGTTTACGTCATTTCCGTCGGCCTTCTGGTGCAGGTTCACGCGCTATCTGACTTACATCTTCAACGGGACCAGCTCGATAATACTGATCACAATAGCCCTGGACAGGTAAATCAACTTTTTTCCAATTTTTTTAAATTTAATTTTTTTTTTATTATTTGACATTGTTGTAGCATCCAAGATATGACGGAAGAAACGTATTCCATTGAGTAACGAGGATGATGTGACATCGAGAGAAATTCTTTAGCTCGTATTAAATAATTTTTTAAAAAATTAACTGTTTTAAAACGCTATTTTTTTTTGTTAACCATGCTTGTTTGGTTTTTTAAAAATAATTTATAAATAAATATTATTTTTTGACATAGCCTGGAGACCAATTCTCTTGTCGCTTATTCAAAATTAACATGATGACAATGTCTAGCAAAAGTTGATAATGTGTCTCATAAGGGATCCTGTATATATGACATAAAGACACATTGGGCAAGATCAGCTCTTCTGAACTCTTCATTTAATAGACGATAACTGTTTTATTGCATAAGAATAGTTAAGATATTGTTTCTTTAATGTTTATATTGAACCGTTAAATGAGAAAGATGCTGACGGAAGAAGACGGTGCACTGAAGTTCTCTGCGATAGGCGAGTCTTTGAACAAAAAAAAAAAATCAATCAAAGATATCGAGAGAAAAAAATGATATTGTATATACCATTGAGTGCCTAAATAGTTGAAGACATGCTTGCAGGTATTTCAAGGTGTGCAGACCGACCCACGTCGGCATCACCCTCCGGCGGGCCAGGCTCGTCTGCGTGGGGTCATTTCTCTTCACGGCGCTCCTCACGATCCCGGCCCTGGTCATCTACGGCGACATGGTCTTCCCGATCCTGGTCACCGACCACGAGGTGACCATCCTGCACAAGGACGTCAGCCTGACGGAGTACGAGAACCGCTTAGCGGCGTCCAATGTATCTCACGTGATCATGAATGGGACCTTCTGTTTGCTTAATTCCGGGTACGTAAAAAAAAAAAATGTTTTAAAATTATATATTTTGTATATTATTTCAAATCATTAGTACTAGGACCCCTAATTCATTACTATTTACTTTCATTTCCATAAATATTCTTCCAATCAAATGCTGGTATTCTTGATGCATTTCAAATTATTGTCAAAAAGTATGTTTCAGTCTAACAAACATATCTACGCAGAAAAACGCTTAGAGCTGCTCGTGTCCCCCCCCCCCATCTGAGGATCCACTAACCTAATTGTTCAACCGTGTCCTCTTTAATATTAAGTTATCCATTTCATTATAGGACCTTATCTGGGTGAACACTACATTTGGACGCCACAATCAATGTCGTGTCACTAATTTTCTTAATGAATCTCAACTCGTAGAAATACCTACATTAAAATTTAGACCCAATCGTCCACAAAAATTTTGACACTGTTTCTCCTTTGATATCTCCAGGCACATCGACGGGCACCTGCCCACCACCTTCTACATCGGCATGCTCGTCCTCTACATCGTCCTGATCGTCTTCGTCGTCTTCTTCTACAGCCAGGTCGCCCGCGCCATGTTCGCGCTCACCCGGAAGCACTCCAAGATGTTCACCTTTCACGGGTCACGTGATCTGTCGACCCCGAACTCCGCTGCCCCGGAGATGAAACCGGCCAAGTACGACTTCACCCGCGCCAGCGTGGCGCGCGAGGCCAGCACGTTCGACGAGGACGGGCAGATGAGGAACTACGCGGGTCTGCCGAAGGAGTTCGGGGACGACAACTCTCGTCATTTTGACGATAAGAGCTCGGTGACGTCCCTGTCGTCCAGAGCAGTTGACAGATCCAGTGAAAGGGTCGAGGATTACGGAAATCAAGAAGAAAGACTGAACAAGAACTCAAACGAAATAGCGAATTTGACAAGTTCGGATGAAAGAATTGTCAAAACAAACTCCAATGACATTATTGGCAGTCCGTATTCGGGAAATGACGTCACTTCCGGAACTGCCATCGCCGACAGATTAGCGGGTTCTCCGAGGAGCAAAAGTGAGATTCTGTTTAGTCCCCAGAGCGGCAGCAAATCCCCACTCAAGTTGTTCAGCAGAAAGAAGTCGTCACAAAGAATCCCCAAAATCAAGATCCAGGACACGAGTGAGAAACCGTCGCACGGCGGCGGCCTCGACTTGGCGCACGCCGACTCTCTCCACGGCTTCGACAAGTCGCTCTCCCTGTCCAGCAACAGCTTGCTGCTGAGGAGAATCAAGAGCGCGGAGAACATCAACGCCCTGACGCGACTGTACAAACTCCAAGTCCCCGAGCACCGGATGAACGGGCCGAAATTCCCGGACGCGTACGAGGCCAACCTGCCGAGGGTGTGTCACCAGAGACAAAGACGGCACGACGTGGCCGTGGGGCAGGTGACCAAAAGCTGCACCAACTTGGATTTTGTGGGTGGGGGGGAGGGGGAGGAGGGCGCCCCCGAACCCAAATCGTCGTCGGAGAAGACGTTGACGCTGACGAGGAAAACCTCACCGCAGGGTAAAACGAACATCTGCGTGCTGCCCCTGACCGGGCTGTGCACGAAAATGGCTCTCCACGCGCAAGAGAATCAAGGGGCCGATTTCAAAAAATGCAAAAACCAGCATAAAACGATCGACGGCTCAGTGGTGAACAGTGAGCCGTGTTTGAACCGGGGACGTGAGAACACTGCCTACGCCGCTTCACCGGAGGACGATTCGGCCGTGACGCTGCGCGCGAAGACGCCAGAGCAGGCGCCCGCGACGATCCCAAGCGTCTGCGACTCCTTTAAAATCACGAAAATCTCCGAGAGCGCGCGGGCCCAGAGGTCACCGCGCCAGGAGATCGTGAGCACGGCGGACATCCTGCAGGACAATCACAACCGCTACTCGCTCCACCCGTTCCGGACCAGCAGGATGCTCTTCATCATCTCCCTCGCCTTCGCGTTCAGCTTCCTCCCCTTTTTCATCATCGCGCTCACCAGATCGGCGATCGGCTCGTCCTTCATGATGTCGCTCAGTGACGCGCAGCTGGGCGCGATCTGCATTTTTATCCGTTCCTCATTGGTCAGCAACGCGGTGAACCCCATCATTTACGGGATTCTGAGCACGCACTTCCGCCGGGAGTGCACCGGGTTAGTTTTCTGTGTGAAAAAAAAGAAATAATTGTTTATATTTATTTTTTTTTTTGTTGCTTTTTAACTATAATATTAAAATAAAAATATTAAACCCAAGTGTGTTTGGAAAGCAATTTTTTTTTTTTTTTTTAAACCTCAGACCCGACTTTGTCATTTTAACCGAAATTATTCTGAATGATGGGATAATAAAAGCGTTTGGCTAATGAGACCTGAAGAAACACCTTTCTCCAATAAATGTATTTGTCATTCTATTTTTAGATTTCTGCAGCTATTTATTAAAATTTAATTCTTTTTTGTTTTTTTGTTACGTTTTGCTGTCATGAATGGTATGAATAATATATTAGGTTTTTATATCTGTTTATGGTCAATATGTCAAAAATAAATATATTTACATTGAATGCACAAAATGCTGCTCCTGTTGATGATTTAAAACTAGCTTTTTTATCTGAATAAACGTGAGCTATATTGATATGTCCCTGTGTTAACAGAGTTCTCGGACATAAATGTAGTTTAGTTTTTTGAAGACTGCTTGTTTCTCATTTCACCAAAAGTCCTAGGGCCATTAGGAAATTGCAAGGTGTGTGCGCATGTGCGAAAATCGGGCGCTTGCGATTGGCTAGAAAATGGATTAATGTGTAAACTAGGTTGAATTGAAACAAGTGGTCTCCAAGACAAGCGGTCACTTACGGGGCACGCAGTCATAGAGCAAGCACGCAGTCATGGAGCAAACACGCAGTCATGGAGCAAACACGCAGTCATGGAGCAAACACGCAGTCATGGATCAAACACGCCGTTATAGGGCAAGCTCGCAGCCATAGAGCAAACACGCAGTCATGGAGCAAGCACGCAGTCATGGAGCAAGCAAGCAGTCATGGACCAAGCACGCAGTCATGGAGCAAGCACGCAGTCATGGAGCAAGCACGCAGTCATGGAGCAAGCACGCAGACATGGAGCAAGCACGCCGTCATGGAGCAAGTACGCAGTCATGGAGCAAGCACGCTGTCATGGAGCAAGCACGCAGTCATGGGACAAGCACGCAGTCATAAGGCAAGCACGCAGCCATGGAGCAGGCACGCCGCCAAGGAGCAGGCACGCAGTCATAGAGCACGTGATCTTTGAGCAAGCACGCAGTCATAGAGCACGCCGTCATGGAGTACGCCGTCATGGAGTACGCCGTCATGGAGCAAGCACACAGTTATGGGGCAAGCACGCAGTCATGGATCAAGCACGCAGTCATGGAGCACGCAGTCATGGAAGCACGCGTCATAAACCATGCAGTCATGAAGCATGCAGTCACGAAGTCATGCACACGGCATTTTATAGCCTTGTGGTAAAAAATAAAATACAATCACTCTTACTAGGTCATCATTTTGTTGTATGTAAATCATTTTCAAGTCATTTACAGTCACACTCCACCCACTCTTTTAAAGACTTACACCAAACAAACAAAAAGCACAAAATTGCACTTTCGAATCTTGTACTTTAAACTCTAATGAAATAGTTACGTTGCAACTCACTGAATGCGTATATCCGATTTTGGGGAGACGTAGACTTTTTCCTTCAAGATTCGATAGACTCGCGTGAAGTGGCATAGTAGAAAGAGCGCATTCCGACACATTTACGAACCAAGCTTTTTCAAAGTCCGTTTTAAAGGTATTAGGTTTCAGATGGCTCCCGTGGAAATAGAAAAACCTACCTTGGTGAGTGAGCTACGGCGACCCATGCCGGCATCTGCTCAGGCATCAGTAGTAAGAAATGAAGATATCAACTAAATAACAATTACATCGCATCTTAACTATTCTAACATTGTAAATAGTGTTAAATAGCAGCTTTTAAGTAAGCATTGTGTGTGAGTGTGTGTGTGTGTTTGGTGTCTCTGTTGTTGTGTGCATGCGGTGTTGTTAAGTTGGCTTGTGTGTGTGTGTGTTTTGTTTGTTTGTTTGTTTTTCATGTACAAAATTAAAATAAATGTGTCCCGTCTAAAACAAAATATTTTTCTTTTTTAAAAAGGGACGTAACAAAGGAATACATGGAGACTCCAGCATTTATTATACGGTTATATATCTTTAAACGTTATAGCATTTAAAGCATCGATCCTGTAATAAAGAGGAATATTGAAAAAGAAAAGAATAGTTGATGGCTATTTTGAATACAAAGATGTTTTAATTATTTTTTTTTCGTATGCACCGATCTCGCAAACTTACGAATCTCCCCGTTGGAAATAAAATAAATCCAAAATAGTTTTGGACAAGAGAGTCTCGACACCACCTTCCACGCCAAGGCCATTCCAATCGACCTATGACCCTTCTGTTCTGTGTACAGCAGGCAATAAGGGACCAAAATGTAATTTGGTTTGAGGTTTTACAAATTTATGCAAAAGGGGGAGGAGAAGACGTGCAGGCGCCCCCCCCACCCCAACCCACTGTCGTTAGATCCATGGTGAGAATCCACTGACACAGATGTCTATACGTATGTGTTCACAATGAGCAAGCACAGACTATGTCTTCTGATGCAGAGCTTGAGTTTATGCTGGTCAATGTTTAAATTGATGATGTAGCCCACCGGTAAATCAACAAGCGGCTGCACGTCACTGTGTTGAGACAGAAATTCGTTTTTTCCTCCCTCCTTTAAAATGATTTTAACAACTACCACCCATTGCAAGGAATAAGTAAAACGTAAAATTATTATATATATATATATATATATATATTAACCACAAGAGATTATATGTTGAGCAGATTTTTCACATTTATCTCGAGCCCCCCCCCTCCCCACCCACAACAAAAGTTTAAATATGGAGCAATCATCTAAGTTCTAGCCCAATTTTTAGTTGGGCTTTGGGTGTTTAATCTCACAATATTTGAGAACCCCTGAGTTTCTTAGTGTCTTTAAAACCCCCACCCCCAAATTTTCCAAACTTTAAAAAAAAAAAAATCCTCTTATAGATGCCCAAACCTCCACTACCTCGCCCCTATCCCCCCAGCTAAAACAATCCTTAACTACTTCCTGTCTGACGTCATGGGAATAACTCTGCGGTAGATTACGATGCAGTTAATCCCCGTGAACACACCGGAAGAGAGGCGAGTATTGCTCTCTGATCTGCCCTTGGAATGTTTTTGTTCTGGGTAGTAGGAATCTAGTAAAAGACCCACAGGGTAATGGGACCCCCTTGTCTCTGTCGGGTTTTAGTGGCGTTGCTGAAGCTGCGGCCATAAAACGGAATTAGTTCCATCGGTTTGTTGACATTCTTAAGCCAGCTCTGCGCTCATAGGTCAGGGGCGTTTACTCGCGTGCACTGGTGGGACGTAAGTAAGGCGGAGTAAGGAAGTACGTACCCCCCTATTTTACCAGCATATCACCGGACTCTCTAGTAGCACCCTCTTTGTTTGATATCCTCTCTATTAGCACACTCTCTATTGCCAGCCTCTCTAGTAGCAACCTCTCTGCTAAGCGCCTCCCTATTAACACGCTGTCTACTGACAGTCTCTCTAGTAGCAACCTCTCTACTAACAGCCTCCTTATTAACACGCTGTGTACTGACAGTCTCTCTAGTAGCCTGTCAGCCTCACTGTACCACACAATGGTGTGATAGAAACAGTTCCACATTCTGTCTGTACCACACAATGGTGAGCCGGGGACAGTTCCACATTCTGTCTGTACCATACAATGGTGAGCCAGGGACAGTTCCACATTCTGTCTGTACCACACAATGGTGAGCCAGGGACAGCTCCACATACTCACTGAACCACAGAATGGTGAGCCAGGGACAGTTCCACATTCTTTATGTACCACACAATGGTGAGTCAGGGACAGCTCCAAATACTCACTGTACCACAGAATGGTGAGCCAGGGACAGCTCCACATACTCACTCTACCACACAATGGTGAGCCAGGGACAGCTCCACATACTCACTGTACCACACAATGGTGAGCCAGGGACAGCTCCACATACTCACTGTACCACACAATGGTGAGCCAGGGACAGCTCCACATACTCACTGTACCACACAATGGTGAGCCAGGGACAGCTCCACATACTCACTGTACCACACAATGGTGAGCCAGGGACAGCTCCACATACTCACTGTACCACACAATGGTGAGCCAGGGACAGCTCCACATACTCACTGTACCACACAATGGTGAGCCAGGGACAGCTCCACATACTCACTGTACCACACAATGGTGAGCCAGGGACAGCTCCACATACTCACTGTATCACACAATGGTGAGCCAGGGACAGCTCCACATACTCACTGTACCACACAATGGAGAGATATCGTCCTGTTCATCGTCATCACTGTACTGCACTATATATTGGTGAGCCAGGGACAGCTCCAGTGCACCATCACCAGCTTCCCCTTCAGAGGTAAGCGCCTCAAATCCTCAAAATTCAAAAACCCCAGGAATCACAAAATGGTACAACCCTTTTAAAGATTAGGCTTTTGAGATACGGGCGGCTTTTAAATAGTTAAATTATTGACATTTTTTCTTTTTAAATTTGATCTTAATTGTAGTCGGAGAGATATATTACAGATCCCTCCTTCTGGACTCCTGCAAATAAGGTTAGATGGCCTGGAACAGACTCTCCGGTGTCCTTTATTTAGAAGAGTCTTTCCCGGAACATTTCCCCCCCCCTTCTCCCCCCCCCCTCCACCCACCCCGTATCTTCCTTCCAACCCCATCTAACCCCCCCCCCCCACCTTAGAGTTTGCCTCGGTAAATCTGTTTATTTCCTGTACATGCCGCCAGTTCTACGTGTTATTTCCCTTCATTTGTGTTGCTTGAGTTGTGGCCCTTGGTGCCCCTTTGATCACTGTTACGGGTGAGACCGCAAACATGAACACATTTGGCTGGTGACCTTCTGGGTCTGGAAACATGGGTGCTACGAGTCATTTGGCTGGTGACCTTCTCGGCCTAGAAAATCAGTGTTACGAGTCATTTGGCTGGTGACCATCTTGGTCTGGAAACATGGGTGTTACGAGTCATTTGGCTGGTGACCTTCTCGGTCTGGAAACATGGGTGTTGCGAGTCATTTGGCTGGTCACCTTCTTGGTCTGGAAACATGGGTGTTGCGAGTCATTTGGCTGGTCACCTTCTTGGTCTGGAAACATGGGTGTTACGAGTTATTTGGCTGGTGACCTTCTTGGTCTGGAAACATGGGTGTTACGAGTAATTGGGCTGGTGACCTTCTCGATCTGGAAACATGGGTGTTACGAGTCATTTGGCTGTTGACCTTCTCGTCCTAGAAACAGGAGAGTTGCAAATCATTTGGCTTGTGACCTTCTC